TGTTCTCTGCTGTTTCCTCTAAGAAAAATGCCCGATGCAAGAAAGAAACTGAACAAATGATTTTTGAATGAATAAATGCCTGTTTGTGATCAGACAACTGAATATGACCATGGGAAAAAAAAGTTAGACAATCTTGCCAACTAGTCTCTTTTCAAATTCATGATGATTAACCTTGAAAGTGGGCTTCTATCCTTAATACAGTGACTCAGGATTTTCAATCCATTTTGTATATCCAGCATTTGAAACCATGAGTCAGGATGATACCACTTCAAATGATTGTAAAGAAAAAAGCCAGTGTTGACAAGCCTGGAAGATAAGGAAAAAAACAGAAAAGAAGAAAGGAGCTAGTGAGTCAGGATAAGATCCAAGAGAATGTGGCGTCCCAGCAGCAGAGAGAGTGGGCCAGTTTCCCTGGGAAATAGATTTCAAGACTGAAATATCCATGCAGAAGGTTTACTGGTGAGCGCTCTCAGGATTAGCTCCAGTAAGGAGCCGGGAAACGCAGGAGGGTGCAGGGAGACCGAGATTCCATGGCAACAGGATCCGGAGCCGACAGGCTAGAACAGGCCTGTAGTTTCCCTACCTTGAAGCAGGAGGCCGGCACACCTGTCATGGCATGCACCTGGCACTCATCACCACGCACCTTTCCCATTAACTAGATTCACCTCAACCTTGGAGATGATCCAAAATGCTTCTCCTAATCACAGGCCAATAATTAAAGTGCAGTCACAGTAGAACCTGGTCAGAGAAGCGCTGGGCCTGCTGCAAGAGGAAAGCGGCTTTGCATGAAGGCAGCTGCAGGAGCCAGCAACGTGTGGGCCCTTCCCCACACCCGGAGCCACGTGCGCTAGTCACCGTCCTCCTCAATGCCAACGTGTGTCTGCGGCACACCACTGCCATCCTCACCCATGTAGCCCCCTCTGGAACCCTCCCCTAAAAGCCTGAGCCGCAGTCACCCCCGCCTACCCCACCCCCTCGTGGCTGCTGTATCCAGACCCCTCTATAGGGCCTCCATGGCTTTTGAGGATTTTAGCTTCTGGATTCAGTGTTACTCTTTCCAACGCAATTTTGGTTTTAATTTTTGGTGAGTTCAACGCCCACAAAGACAATCCTTGCAATACCTTCGCATTTCACTTGCTTGACCTCCTGCCTTCCAATGAGCCCGTTTTCTCTTTCCCGTTCCCCCATTCACATCTTCATATCCTGCAACTTGTTATCAATACCAATCAACAAGACAGAATCCCCTCTGTCACTTAGCGTTCAGAGGAACGGAAGCACTAAAGATTAGACATATTGGATGATTGATTAACAGGGACTGAACCATACAGGCTCGAGAGAGCTGGCTACTCATTCTCTGTAAGGCTTGTTTTCACATCACATGCTGCACCCCGAAGTCCACGGGGGCGTGTAATTAAGAAGGGAGGCTGGAAATAGAGAACAGCAAGGATGACTTGAAACCCGTGAGGACAGACTGGAACCCAACCAGTCTCTCTCTGCCTCCAACCTTGAAAACGCGGGCATCCTGCACAAAAAGCTAGTGTGCTTCATCAGGGAGCAAACACTCACCGGCCTTGGCGTCAGAGAAGCTGCAGGAACACGTAGAGGTGGCCACAGGCCCAGGCTGTCCCACAGCGTCACATGGGCCAGCAGACAAGCCGCAATGCATGTGAGCTGCAGAAGCACCTGCTCAGCCTTCTGAGCATAAAACCAAAATGGCTGCTCCTTCCCATCCCCCTCCCTAAATAGAAGCAGGCAGGGAAGGAATTCTGGGAAAAAGAAAGTTCAGCTGGACCAAATTGCCACATCACAAAACTGTCGTCCTCTCCATGGCTGTAATTTCAATTACCGCACTCTGGCAACTCAGCTCCTGCCTTTGCAGCCCACTTCCTGTAGAACGTGGGCTCAAGAGTTCTTTTACCCCACTGGGACCAACAATCCATCGAAGTCCCTCAGAGTCACCATATCCTCAGTTCCCTCTGCACCCAGCTTGTTATTATACTCATTCCCACTGATTACCATAAATGTCTAGTCCAGTTTCCTCTCTCTACCCTCATCACGTCCACCTGCTGAAACACTGCCACCCATATTTAAATTCAACCCTCCACCTTTTCCTGTACCTGCACAGCTGGAATATTTTTGGGCAAAAACCACACAACCATTCTAACTGGCCTTATTTTAAGTTCATAAACTATGTTAAGTTTATTCACCTCAAGTGAACTCGGTACTCTCCAGCCCCCTACTGTATTTCCCTCGTCCATTCTAGGACACTCACAGATGCAGCGTGTCACACTTTCTCCATGCCATACCTTTGATGCAAGCTTCAAACACATCCTCCCCTTTGTGTTCTCAGCTCATGACCTTGCTACCTATTCGTATCTGTTATCTGTTGCTGCGTAATAAAACACACTAAAACAGTGGCTTAAAACAAAAACCATCTTATTTAGATCACCACTTTGTAGCTTGATAATATGGGTTGGGCTTACCTTTCCTCAGGTGGGCCCACTGGTACGCGTGCGCCTAAATAAAGACAACTGGGATGATGAAGGCAGCTGAGACCTCTCCCCACGTGAAATTTCCTTCTCCATCAGGATTCCCAGCGTGAAAGTGGAAGGGGCAAGGCTTCTTAAGTCTAAAGTTAGAACTAATACAACACTTTTGCTGCACGCTGTTGGACAGAGATCATCACAGGGCCAGCTTAAAAGACAGTAGAAACAGTCTTAAGCTCTTGATGAGAGGCCAACCTGTGGCCACATTTACAATCTATCACCCTGATTAGTCACAGTAGGGCTATTGTATCGCCAATAAAGAAAGTAGAGAAAAATAGAACAGAAAGCAAACACTGTATTTTTAAATCTATTTTATCAATGTGCTCGTGTAAGTTCAGGTTGTAAATATCTTTTCAATATTTGTGCTATTGTTTTCACCTTAAATACTGATTGAATCGCCTATTAAATGGTCTATGTTAGGGGACCAACAGACAGTGATCCACAGGCTTAATCGGACTGTAATGAAAGCTTTTGTAAACGAAGTTTCATCGCAATACAGCATGCTCCTTTTATTTATGTATTGTTTATGATTGAGTTCACACTGCAAGAGTGGAGTTGAGTAGTTGCAAGAGAGATCGTGTGGCGTGCAAAGCCTAAAATACTATTTGACCTTTTGCAGAAAAAAATATTGCCAACTCCTGCTTGATGGCATCATTTTTCCATCTCTGAAGTAACCCAATTTTGTTACAGAATTGTGATAGACATATGGTCCATTACTCAAATCCCACTGATTTATGCAAAAGAACTGCCTCAACAGAGCCACAGCGTACAAACTCACCTGTGAATGTTCTAAGAAGTTTCTTTGGTGGGTTTGTCAGATTCTACCACAGACCATGAAATACTTATTTCACGTAACAATACAATTAAAAATCACTGCTGTGGACACAGTACGGCCATTTCCTCAAATGGCACTAAAACTTAAGTAATGCAAAAGAAGCCATCTTTTACTTGATTTGTGATCTCAAACCATTAATCCACATGGAACAGTAAAATTGAAGTATGGTTCTTAAACGTTATTGTGCTTCAGAGTCATCTGGGGAGGTTGTTAAAGGACTGACTCGCAGACCCCATTCCTCAGAGATTGTGATTCAGCAAGTTTGAAGGATGGCCTAGAAACTGCACTTTTAAGAAGCATTACATTAATTTTACTGTTCGTGGTCTAAAGACCTCACTTTAAGAAACTCTGAACTAAATGGCATCAGAAACCGGAAATAAATGGGGCTTGGTTGACCATTACTTTTATTCCTTTACCTGCAAGAGAAAAATAAAAAGCATAGTATGTATTCTCATAGGTTAATAATAGTAATACATCATTTCCTTAGAATAGTCACTAGAATTTAATTAAAAAGCCATATGCAGGCATTTTAGATTCGATTTCAAAAGGTTATTTTGCTTAATCGCCTTTATGCTCTTCCTGAAAATATGAATTGTCTCTTTATTTCATCAATATTTTAAAATTATTAAAATTATTGGACTTTACTTAGCATTCTGAAAGGCATTCCTCTATTTTCACATTCTTTCCTTAAAATCCTATTTCAATACCATTTGCTAAAATTTTTCATAAGAAAAGCAGTGTAATATGACAGAAAGATAATTGAAATGAAAAGACACAGATGTGACTCATCTATTGATAGATACATACATATCTTAATAATACATATTGAGTATACAATGAGTATACTCATTGTATACTCAATATGTGTATACAATCTTAAAGCAAAATTTTTACATGTAACATGAATAGCTTGTAACAACTACTTTCTGCTATACCTTACAGATTTGGCAGTCTGTGATAGTCTGCTCTTTATTTATGTCAAGGAAAGCTTTAAAGATCAATTACAAGTGTTTACATGTAATTCTTATTTGGGGAAAGAAGCCATTAAAAAAAGTTCTCCTCTTACCAAAAATGTTGGGCCTATCTTTAGTAGGAACCTAGATTTTAAAAAAAATAGGGAAGTATACTTTAAATTGACACCAATAGGAGAAAATGGGATTCTTTTTTCCTTTTAAATCCATAAATACGTGTATAGTTACATTTCATTACAATTTCAATTTGATATGACTGTATCATTGGAATGTTGCTAGTGAAATTTGATGATAGTTTCGGGCTTCAATTCACCTATGAATAACTGACATGCCTTAGCTGAATGAATTCTTATTCCACGTCTACTATTTTGCTCAAACCATAAATAACGTTCAGGCAGAGTTATGTGGAAGAAAATGAAAATTTTTGTGCAGTCCTTTTCATGGCACAGATCTGGAAGTTCCAAACTTGTTCCCTTTTTTATTATTTTGCATTTATGAGGCCCCTTAAATGTAACTTAAATCCCATAAAAATTGGAAGCATTGAATTGATGCCTGGGAAAACCCAATAGAATGGAACACAGAATAAGACACAGAATAAAAACAATACTCCTCTGATAATGATTTTACAAGCAAAGTCAATTGCTTTACTTTTTTTTTTCTTCTGTTTGTGTGCCCATGTCCACATATGCAACAAGAAACCCAGTGATTTTCAGCAAAGGCACCAATAGCTTACACGTCAAAGGGACAAAGCAATGACAGGCCCTCAGAAGTGGGGATAAGAGGTCAGCGCTATGTGAGCAGGACAACCTTGAATAAATGTACTAACAGGAACGTGTGTACTGCCTGTTAGGTGGTGGGCACCAAATACTCTACCACTTCATTTAATTTGCACAAAACATAGAACCCCTATGAGGAAAGTATGAAATTCCAGTTTTAGCGATGGGGAAGCCCAATGCTGGGGTTAAGACTTTTGGTCCCAATTCCACTGTTAGAAAGACGCAGAGTCAAATTCAAATGCACAGCTGGGGTTTGACCTGAAGGCTGCCTTCTCCACTCAGCTAAGTGATGGCTTCACTTCTTCTAGAACATTTGCCTCTTATCTTCCCACTCACTAACTCAATCTCCTACCCTCTCAATGTGCCCAGTGCCTGACTTCTGAACTGCTCCTATTAATATTAAAAGCCCATCGGACTCCCTGAACATGGTATGTGTTTAACAAATGCTTGTTTTCTCTTTTCCTCCCCACCATTAATAATTACTCTTCAGTCGTGGCTCAGCTCTCTGTTGTCTGAAGTGGAAGCTACATAGCTGAAAACACACTCCCACTGAAAAATGAGTAATAAAAACTAATATGAATGTACTGTCTTGGTGCATGTTAACATAGGATCCATGGAAACACAATGCTAGCCTTTGGATTCATTCCAGATTGGGTGACAGGCCAATGGTAGAGGTAACCAGGGGTAGGAGGAAGTTAGGATGACTGAAAAGCTTCCTAGAACATGGGACTTGCAGTGCTAAAAGCAGACTGTTCCAGGCAACAGAGGCCCACTGCTACGGTTTAAATGCTTGTTCCCTCCAAACTTCATGTTAACATGTAATTACCAATGTAACAGTGTTGGGAAATGGGATTTTTAAGAGGTGCTTAGGTCATGAGGGCTCCACCGTCATGGGCAAGCGTAATGCTTTTCTTAAAAGGACTTTCAGGCGTGAGTTTTCTCTCCTGCTCTTCCACTCCTCTGCCATGTGAGGAATGGCGTTCCCCGCCTCTGGAGGACGCAGCATTCAAGGCGCCATCTTGGAAGGGGAGACCCAGTCCTCACTAGACACCAACTCTTTCAGTTCCTTCATCTGGGGCTTCCCAGCTTCCAGAACTGTGAGAAATAAAGTTCTATTTTTATAAGTTACCCCGTCTTAGGCATTCTATCACGGGAGCACAAAATGGACTACAACAATAACCCTTTCCTAACTCTTCTGAAGTTACTCCAGTAACGTTCCCTTAGGGTTGACGCTAGTGCAGAAAGGTCACGCCTTATTCTGTTCATCCCAGCTCACATAAGCATTAGCTGAGAAGCTACTGTGAGAAAGATGGATGGCAATACAAAGGTGTGAAGCAGAGAAGTATATAACCCCAAACATGCTTTTACTATCACTAATCTAATTTCACCTTGAAATACTCAAAAGGGCCCTAGCTATAATCATGAGGCCTCTATACAATTACATTATGAAGTAAGATTACATTTTTCCACGTGGGCTGATTTCTATAGAACTGGACTTACTCAAATATTTACCATTTGTCTTATACAGAAAAATGTACTCAAAACTAAGTTTACTGGTATCACATGTCTGTATGCATACTTACTTCCTCACAGCATGAGGAGCTAATAAGGACAAAGTGTTATTTACTTTGACAGAAATGTTCAGTGATTTGTATTTTGAGATAAACCCTAAAATTAAAGCATTGTTTGCAATTTTATATATGAGAAACTGGTTAAGAATTTCTCCATAAAATAAGGAACTCTAAGCTACCCTTAAGGCTTTATAATATCTGTATCCTGTGCCTTCTAGAAATTCTGTTTTCACACATTTTATACCAATAAAAATGAGAAATCAAACAAATTTCTTAAAGGCAAAAGACAATAGCAGTGCAATTTTTGCTGAAATTTCTTAAACCGCTTTCTCAGAAAATCATAGCACCTGATGGCATTTAGAACATTTTTATAGAACTAAGTTTTCAGAAGTAACAAAATGTTAAGCTATATACTAAAATTTTTTTTCTTTATTATCATTATTATACTTTAAGTTCTGGGGTACATGTGCAGAACATACAGGTGTGTTACACAGGTAAACACGTGCCATGGTGGTTGGCTGCAACCGTCACCCGTCATCTACATTAGGTATTTCTCCTAATGCCATCCCTCCCCCAGACCCCACCCTGCTGCTATCCTTGAAAATTTTAATGCCCAATTTAAATAATATAATATCTATACATATTATAATGCCCTGTTTTAAAAAAAAATTATGTTTTATATAAACCTTTTTGAAGTCTGTTAGACTCTCTTTCCTATGTGTGATACTAGTTGGGGCAATATCAAAACTACACTGAGACTATTTAGTATTTAATAGTGTGTTATTTTTTGTAGGAAAATGGTACTTCAGTTGTTCCCAGCTCACCCTGGAGGGTGTAAGGAAGTGGGAGATGGGGTGGGAGTGGGAGGTGAAGAAAAGGTGAGTGGAAGTGAGGAGGTGAAGGGAAGGTGGCGAATATTTCGATACGTTTCAGGCTGTGGTACCACCTCGTCCTTACCACCATTTCCATAAAATACTTCAGATCATCAATACTGCAAAGGCAGTTCCATGCTGTCAACACTGATAGTAAATAATGGGTCAAGAAAGTGGATTAAGGCAAAAGTCTGGAGTTTCTTATAGCTACTACTTCTCTGTATGATTTTGTGAGGAAATATAGTTGTTGTGGTAAATTAAATTTCCATCACTATATGCTACATGTTAATATTTATTATTTTTCCAGTGAGTAATTACAGTTTTTAATTAACAATAAGCTACTGAAAATTAAATGTATATATTTACGTCTAAAACTAATGAAGTAGAAGCAAAAGGCAAACGATGTCAAGAACCTCTTTTATTTCTGCCCGAAGCGCCTCTCCCCTACTGCTGATGAGTTCGCCTACGTTATTCCCCCGTTCTGCGCGCAGAGACTGAAGCAATATGGAAGCAGGAAAATGAAGCACTAGCGAGAGAACCAATAACAGCCTATTTACACAGTGCTGCGCATATGCCAGACACTCTAAAGGTTTTACACATATTAGTGAAAGGTAATACATACCTCATTAAGGACACACCCTACAAGAAAGACGTTATTATCCCCACTTTATGGATAAAAACATTAAGGCAACAAAAGATTGCATAACTTACCCAAAATGGTATGATTAACAAGTAGAAGAACTGAGCTTTCAAGACAGATATCCTGGTTCCCAATTCTGTGCCTTAACCACTGTCATCCCTCTAAGGAAACATAATGGCTATTCACAAGTATAATGTCAAATTCAAATGCCCTGTGAGGCCTGAGAGTGACAGCACCTTCCCTACCTGGCCGCTCTGTCCACAAATACCAAGTACAGCCTCCAGAGTTGCTGCTCGCCGTTCTAGGTCCCAGGCTTCTTCCCTGCAGGCCCTGGAGGAGGGAGGTCAGTTCTTGAACAGACAAGAAGTTCGAAGGTAGTGGATCAGTGAGCAATCTCAAACAGCATGCAACAACATGGGGGAATCTCACAGATGCAATGTGAGTGAAAGAAGCCAGGCAAAAGAGCGCATTCTGCATCATCCCATTTATTATACGTAGTATACCAGTATACATAAATATACTACATACTATTTACAGTATTATATATTACAATTGATTTATATATTAATATATACTAACAAATATATGTTGCCAATATATTTTATATAATTGATTAGTATATAATACATAATTATTAATCTATAATGTATGATATGTATTAAGTATACATTAATATATAGCCTGACAAATTAAAACAGGCTACGCTGCCGGAAGTTGGGATAGCGGTCACCATTGGAATGAGGGGTGGTAACCGGAAGGAAATACGAGGAGGGCTTCTGGGTACCATTAGGACAGCTTCTTTTCTTTTTTTTTCTTTTTGGTCTGGGGTATTGATTACATGGTGTGTGAGTTTGTGAAAATGCATTCAGCTACTTACTTATGTGCCGTTTTCTGTGTGTATATTATATTTCAATTAAAGGTTTTCAAGGAGGAAATGATAGGAGCTTTTATATTATGTCAAATAAAGCAGCAATCAACCCTCTCCTGTTTTCTGGTTCATTTTTTTGTTTTCCGTTGGGACAGAGTTTCACTCTTGTTGCCCAGGCTGGAGTGAAATGGTGCGATCTGGGCTCACTGCAACCTCCACCTCCATGGTTCAAGCGATTCTCCTGCCTCAGCCTCCAGAGTCGCTGGGATTACAGGCACCTGTCACCAAGCCTGGCTAATTTTTTGTATTTTTAGTAGAGACAGGGTTTCACCAAGTTGGCCAGGCTGGTCTTGAACTCCTGACCTCAGGTGATCTGCCTGCCTCGGCCTCCCAAAGAGCTGGGATTACAGGCGAGAGCCACTGCTTCCAGCCTTCTCATTTTTACTAATACTCGCCTTCTGTCCCATTCTAAGGCACGGGATTCTGAAGTGACATACCCCCAACTATGCTTTTCCTACCTTTCTTTCTATTTTTCTCTCAAATTTTCTTTTTTCAAAAAAAAAAAATTTAATTGAGGTAAAATATACATATATAATGTATCATCTCTCTTGCCAAAAAAAATCTTAGAGGGAAAGCTATTTTTAGTTTCTTGCACTAAATAATTTCAATATCCAGCATCACTTTTATTTAGAGAAAAGGGTTACAAATGGGAGATGAGAGAGATAAAATTTTCTGCACCATCAATAATTAAAGAAGTTAACAGTGATTAAATCGCTTTTTCCCAAGCATCAAGACTGATGCATAAATGCGCCTCCGACTCCCGTAGACGCCATTCCCTTCCCAGTGCTGCTAGAGCCAGTACCAGAAGGGGGTGGGAGGGGAGGTGCTGTTAGAAACTGGGCTTTTTTCAGAGTTTAAAAGAAAAAGAGAAACCCAGAATTCACAATTGAAAGCTTTAAAAAGTGTAAAAACTATGATATCTGATTTCACGGCTCTAAAACTTTCTGAACATTGGTTTTGAACAGGATATATCTTTCTCCAAACCGCCACATGGGCCTTTGAGCCTGAATCATCTCATAATGAGAAAAATAAGGGAGAAAATACACCACATTCTCAGAGATTGTTTCTAATGGAAACCCAGTTTTGACAACCCTACCACCTGCTTTATATCATTAAACTGAAAGAGACTATGAATAGGAAGGGGTTGGAGAGACATTGCTGATAAAATATTTAGAACACCAGGAAGAGCCACGTCAGGCTTTTAGTTTACCCAGAAAAAGCATCTTCCTAAAGTATCAGTCAACCAAGATTTACTGTATTAATAAAATCACCTTCAGACTATAAAGATAGAAAAAATGCATAAAATGCAGACAGATAACCTATTTTTAAAATCTGGAATGAAAGGACAAAATGTTTTAGATGAAAGACAATGCGGAGCATCTTGCTCTTTGAGGCTGCAGTATTTACTCTGACCCCCTCCTGTGCGGGTGAATGGTACTGAGTACCAATATCTCAGAAGCATCTAGAAGCTATATTCTAGTGGGGCTGAGATGTCCACATAATGTTGCATGAGATTTAGTATGAAACAAACAAACAAGCAGGGACGACTACATAGTTAATGTCTGAACACTATCTTCCCCACAATTATTGTTGCTAGAGGAGGTGAATGATTGTTTGCATGTGATGGAATTTACCATCTTTCAAATGTGCATTTTCCTCTTGAACACTGAAATAATGATGGTCCCAGAGAGCCATGCAGATTGCCCAATCTATCAGCATTTTTCTCCATGTTTGACTTTCATTCCTCTGCATTTGATTGCTTCTGAAATAATGGTGGCCGAATTGAAAATGCTTTTTATATTCCCCAGATGATTTTCATTTGCAATAGATAAGCAAATGCAATTTTCCCAATTACACGAACCAGGAAAAGACACCCCCATACATTAGCGTGTTCAGTGAATACAGGGGAGGGGATTCCATCGGGTCCGCTAGCCCCCTCAAAAGAGAGGAAGCGAAGAGTGATGTCCAACTAAGCCAGCAAAGTCTGCTTCATCCACGCAGGCCTAGAAAGTGAGTAGACATCCTAGCTACGCATTAAAAGGGGCGTATTTTCTACATATAAAAAAATGGGATTAAGCACAGCCCTGTGCAGTGATTTGGCACTAATTGACAGTGACATGAGAAACCTGAACTATCACTTCAGTACATGTGAGTTAATAGCTCTGTCTGGCATTGGTTTCCCTACAACAGAACTTAACTCCCTCCCCTCTCTTTTGCCTCACCCACATACCACAACAGTCAGCTTTTGAACAATGGGAAATTGTTTTCTTTATGGCATTTACTACTTATCACTGACAGCGGAGGAGTCTGCGGAGGAAAATTCCTAAGAGTTTTGCAAGAAAATGTGAGCTGTCCACCTGACTGACCTGCATAAACTGCCTCCTAAAACGCAAATATTTTGCTTTTGTTTCAGGTTCTTTTCAATGAGAAAATAACATGAAGGGAAGATGTTTTAAAAGTCACAATGAGAACCCATGGACACAGGGAGGGGAGCACTACACACTGGGGTCTGTTGGAGGGAAATAGGGAAATAGGGGAGGGACAGCGGGGGGGTGGGAAGTTGGGGGGGATGGCATGGGGAGAAATGCCGGATATAGGTGAGGGGGAGGAAGGCAGCAAATCACACTGCCATGTGTGTCCCTATGCAACAATCCTGATGTTCTTCACATGTACCCCAAAACCTAAAATGCAATAAAAAAAGTCCAACTTTCCGCTTCTTTCACTTCATATTTTACTACTTTCTCTTTTTTTGGCAAGGAAAACTTAATTATGAGACAGTTCACCCAGATCTTGCACTGATCCACAGCACAGATAAGCAATTCTGAGGAAGTTAAATATTCAGTGAAGACGCCACTAATCACTACCCCAGGAGCAGCCCCAAAGAAAGATTATTCTTTGCATTGTGGATGCGCCTGTCATTTGCAGAGCTTTGCAAATACTCAAAAAAAAGGCAGAAGCTTGGGGAAAAATAACTCTCAAAGGTGAAAATGTAAAAATTACATTGTTTGATACATTGTACCATCATAATAAAGGTTTATAACATTTTTCTTAGAAATTAAGGTAGAACCTAGTCTTTTTATAGTTTCGGAAGAGAATACATAGGAAACAAATCTTATGTGATATAAAATCTCTACAAATTAAACCCTTTGGCTGAAAAATACCTGCATATATACAATGCAGCATTCTTTAGAAATAAAAAGCATTCCGAGGGCATTTCTAACAAGGGCTAGAAATCATTTCCCCCATTTTTTATTCAAGTCTTGGCAAACATAGTCTCAGGTTGGTACCTACAACACACTTCATCACATTATACTTGGGCCATAAATTATTATTAGAAAAACTTCCTAACCTTGAAATGCAATCTGTTCTGTTTGGGTAATCCTGTAGTTTTTAGAAAATGCATCCTCATCTAGTCTTAAAAGAATAAAATTTTAAAAATCAATGAAGGTGTAATTAATAGTATAATAATATAGGTAATACATGTATGAGTGAGATATTAGAAAATGTAATTTAAGCAATATCACCATAAATGTCATGACTTTAGCTGCCCTTAGATACGTCTGGGAACAATAACGTATTTGCAGCAGTCCTCTCAGGCCCTTCCTACACACATGTTCGAGACAGCGTTTCATGAAAGTCTGTGGGTTGTGCTTGAACCATGTCTGCAAGGGCCGGACCTGCATGAAAACCCTGAGCTCTGCCCTTCACGCCCTGCCCCTACTTCAGGCTTCCTCTTGCCTCTGCTGTAAACTGAACTAGACACAGAATTCATTTTCTTCTCACCGATTTCCACCAACAAAACAGCCGCAATTGTACCGAGAGTCTGGGGAGGCAGAAGCTCAAACAACTGAAAAGTGGTGATAAAATGGTCCGTTCTTAAAAGCGCCTTGGCGCGCAGCAGCCTCTTCTCACGCTGTGTCGTCTCTGCTCTCCTGGGTGCTCACTCCTTCTAAATTCCCCGTCACTGCTCCTGCAGAATGGTGTCACCTGCTCGTTTATCCTGTCAGACCCGCACTTCCCGTCTCCCTTCCCACCTCGAGAAGATCGTCAAGACATGTTTTCTTTTAAGACAGTTCTTGCCCAACGGAGAGCCCAGATGTCTGCCTTTATGATAATTATTTCACCCCACATTTATCTCATTTGGTCTCAACAGCCCCTTGTTTCCTAGAACTGATATTGTTATCATTCCTGCTTCATAAACAGGAAACCAGGGTTTGCAGAGAGGGGTTATTTGTGAGGGCCACACAGCGTGCTGGAACCACAACCAGAACTCCTGTCGCCTGTGCTGTGGTGTGCCCACCCCCTCTCAAGCCAAGATACTGCTCCTTTCTGTGAATTGCTCTTCTCTCTCTAAAATAACGATAGGAATTCCTCAAGAAATATGTGTGACGTGCGTTGAGAAATGTAGCAAAGACTGATTAGCTCTTTGGTCGTCTGTTTTCCCAGGATCAGCTGCATCAGCATCTCCTGGAAACTGGTTAGAAATGTAAATTCTGGGACCCAATTCAGATCTATAAAGTCAGAAACTCTGAGACTGCAGCTCAGCAATCTAGGTCTTAACCGTTCCCAGGTGATTGTGATGCAACCTGCATCTTGGGAACCACGGGACTAGCTATTCATCACGGGATGTCATGAGTGCGCTATGAATGAAACCAATATGCACCGTTGCCAGGTTTGTCCTATGGAAAGCTTCTTTCTGTCTCATTGATGAGATGAGAACTCAGATCCAGAACAAGTAGACTTAATTAACATTCATAGAACTCTCCACTTTAAATACACAAAATATACACTCTTATCAGTACTACATTACATGTATTTACAGGTTTAAATGAAATATTGGTTGGCTGCTTGTTAATTATTTTCTTCCCTCATTTTTTTTTAAATGTCTCTATTATTAAACACAATTACAGGCATACCCAGTTTTAGACTGCATTCTAGCCCGGGCAATAAAGCAACACCCTGTTCTCTCTCCCTCTTCCTCTTTCTTCCTTTCCTTTATTCTTTTTCGTTTTTTTTATTCTTTTTCTTCCTTTCTCTCATTCTTCCTCTAAAAAAAGAAAGAAAGAAAGAAAAGCTTCTATGTGTGATATTCCACGACACCCTTTCCGCTGTCTTGCTGCAGGCCAGTGTGGCAACACTGAAAGACATGAGTGCAGTGTGGTAGAGCCCCAGAACACAAGAAGGCTGGGTCTCTGCAGCACAGCTTGAAGGGAAGCCACCCGCTGTTCAAGAATACCCAATGTGGGCAATGCCACTGGAGGCCTGACATGTATATATTACGGCTCCAGCATTACCCTACCTCGCACGAAAGGGTCATCTTGTGGGGGCCTAGCCTCTGGGACTGTAAGAGAGAAACTGAGATAGGTCGGAGGTCAAAGTACCCACGCTCACCTTATTTGCCTGTTTCCTGAAGAAAGAGATCAGAGAAAAACTTCCTCGTTCTACAATAGGAGGAAAGTTGACATACAAGTTCCAACTTGATGGGGACGAAGGGGGACGGGAGAGGGCAGGTGAGAAGAAGTGATGCTTGGGTGTTAGAAAAACAAAGGGCTAGAGGCCGCGTTGACAGGGGGCAGAGGCCAGGCCGACGAGGGGCAGGGGCCGGGCTGACAGGGCTAGAGGCTGGGCCGACAGGGGGCAGAGGCCGGGCCAACAGGGGGCAGAGGCCAGGTTGACAGGGGGTAG